GGCATTTCCGATCACACCAAATTCTAACTTCAATATATCCATCAGAATTTCATGATCAATGGTGTCAAAGGCGGCACTCAAATCCAAGAGCACTAAAAGAGTTACTTTCTGTTTGTCCATGTTCATAAGGATATCATTGTGGACTCCTAGGAGAGCTGTTTCGGTAGAGTGAAATTGATATGACGATTGGTTGTTAGGAAGAGGAGCATTATCAGCACAATGCTCAAATAACTGGCTAACAACTGCTTTTTCCGTAGCTTTAGAAACGAATGACAGGTTACTGACGGGCCTGAAGTTCTCAAAGACTAGATCAAGACCGTATTTTTTTTAGAATTGGAATAAGAATGGCAACTTTCCATGCTTCTGGGACGTGACCTTCACTTAACGACAAGTTGATCATTTTCATAATGACAGGTGTTAACTCACTGGCACATAATTTCGGCAGCCATGTTGGGATAGGATCAAGGTTACATGTTGCATTCGACGACTTCATGATTATGTTATGGACTTCTTCTTCTGACAGGAGCTTAAATGAGTCTAATTTGATATCAGGTAAACGATAATCTACTAATGGTGGGTCTACTACAACGTTTTCAATGTCATTTCTAATTAGCTCAATCTTTCGACAGAAATATTTTCCGAACTCATCAGCCAGTTTACGTGAATCATCATGTGGAGGCAAGGAGTTTTCTTGAGGTGTGTTGCAAAGTGAAGACACAACCTTAAAAAGTTTTCTTGAATCTCCCGAGCATTCATCGATAAGATCAGAATAGTATTTATGTCTAGCATTTTTCAAACTGGTAGCATACTTGTTACGCGCTTGGCGATAAGCGTCTTTATCATTTTGGCAATTTGATCGTAGCATTACTTTCTCCAGTTTTCTACGTTTGGCCTTAATACGTTTAAGTTCTTCACTGAACCATGGTACTCTTGGTCTGACAACCACTATCTTTCTTTGTAAAGGGGCATGTTTCTCCAAAATATGTGATAGCGTATTATCATAATGTTTCACCAAATCATCTACATTGGAGCATGGGTCATTACACAGTTTGGAATCAGTGATGTCAGCTTTGAAGGCCTGAAGATTCAAATGATTTGTCTTACGAAACTGAATTTCCTTTGTCACAAGATTCGGCGAGGAAAAGAGAGGTTGCATTCAACAAAACAATGATCTGACAAAAAGAAAGTAGTCTTGACTAGGTGAATATTAATGTCATTGGACGATCTCGAAATTAGAAGATCTAGGGTATGCCCAGACGAGTGAGTTGGTACAGTAACATGTTGTAATAAGCCAAAAGTTTCCAATAAATCAGTAAATGTTTTCGCGTCAGTATCAGACGGATCATCGAGATGGAAATTAAAGTCACCGGAGATTACTAATACTTCTGTGCACATAACAATGCTCTCAAGTAAGTTGGAGAATTCTTTGAAGAAAACGCTTGAAGAAACAGGGTGAGTTTGTGAATAAGGTGGACGATAGACTGCTAATGTTTTAATCGTACGGTTGAGTAAAGCCAAGTTCCATTCAGAGTATTCAAAAGATCGTTTTTCACCTCCGTCAATTAAAGTAACTTTAAAATTGGTATTAAACATAATGCCAGTGCCTCCACCCATTCTGTTAGATTGTCTAGGAAGGTTTTTAAAAGAGTAACCAGGGGGAGAAAGCGCGGCTATGCTAACAGTGTCAACGTCTTTTAACCAGGTCTCAGTCACAATACACACATCAATATCGTTGCTCAAAACATGATCAACGATTTCGGCTGTTTTGTTTTTAAGAGATCTCGCATTAACATTGGCGAAACGTAGGAATTTTGTATGAGAATCTGAATTTAAGTTAGTTCTATGTACAGACACGCAGACACAGTTTGAAGGGTTATGAGTACGAGCACGGTGACAACGACCATTACGCGGATGTCTATCAGTACTCAATATCCTGTTGTTTGTACTGACATCAATGAAGGAGGGTATGGAAAAGGTTGGGATGTGGGGTGGTATATTGGGGATCGAAATGGAGGGAAATAATAGGGATTCACAGGAAAAGGGGAGTAATGAAAACTGGGTGAGGAGACAGCTTTATCCATTATCTTATAGAAGGGTTGTTGGATGTTATTATAAAATTGAGGTTTCTGATGTAGGAAGTCACAATTATTGCCTTTTTTACAGAATTTTCTTTTCCTCAGGAATGGACACGGGGTTAAATGTTTTGGGCGTTTAGGTGTCATTCGGTTAAAACGTTCATTACCTAATCGAGATGTGCTGGTATTAAATTTACCCGTTGTTGACTTAGTTTTACTGGCTTTATTTAGATTAGTAGCTTCAGTTAGTGTGCAGTTTTTTACGAGATCGGTATTCGAGACGCTAGGTTGATCTTTAACAATAGGAACTGACTCATTATGTATATCAGTTTCATTATGGGATATATTTATAATGTCTTCAGTTGACTGATTTAAGTCGGAGTTTAGAACGCTAGGCCGGTCACTTGCTATATTCCTAAACTCGTCGTATAGATATTAAATTCATTGAATAAAGTTGGTCCAATGGTATGGGAGGTGTATATGTTAGGGTCAATTAGCGGATCCTTATCAGTAGTTGTAGGGTCATTAAAGGTGGTATTTCTCATACTATTAGTGGGACTATTGGTCATAGGATTGATATTCATTACTTTGAATGTTGAATTCCCAAGAGACCGCAAGCTTGACGCAAGGAGCAAATTTGCTTCGCTAAGTCTACATATCTCGCTGTCTTGCTTGCGAATAACAGACTCAAAGTCTTTTTGTTTGGATCGCATAGAGTTAATTTCAGTTATTAGATCACTCGTAATGTCCACTAGGGTAGCAATATCTGCTTTCAAGCCATCAAACTGCGATACAGATGGTTCAGTCAGCTCATTAACACTACTACAAACCTCTTTCGTTGATGCTTCGCATGAGGGATTTACATCTTTCGGGTCCCGATTTATCAAGCTTTCGAGCTTCAACTTTAGATTCTCTTCAGCATCATCACTCTGTATAACCAGCTTTTTCGAACGAGGACCGCGCCATTTAATCATATATTCCCCTTCTCCTTCGCTTTTGAAAACTTTAACGTCGCCTCCAGGGGATTTCCACTTGCCTTTCAAGTTTAGTGCTTCTAGAACAAACCTTTCTAATTCTTCAAAGGTTTTAAGCCATACATATGTTCCACTGTCGTAAGATAGACCGTTAAGATAATTCATAGTTGATTAAAAACTAAGATTTTATTCAAAATATATAAAAATATAGCGGAGCGAAAACTTGTACATCTCGCCGAAGTACCTCCGTATTTTCGAAGAACGGCATTTGTTGTACATGCTGGCGAATTATTTTGGAGAATAAAGCAATTTGAATGTGAGAATTTTCGATTCGAAGTGCCGTGCCGTCGTATCGACGATCGGGAATAGTTAGCCTTTATCATGTTTCATGTATACTAGTAACATGGAGTACAAAGTCTCGGAAAATATTAGTCCAACAAAGGAGGAATAAAAGGAGAACACACACTATCAAATAGGTAAGTAAATTTCATTTTAAAACTTATATTTTAGGACATATTTTTACTATAATATACAATTATATAATATAACTGATAACTGGTAACTGATAACTTTTATTTCACACTATTTCAAGATAATACAAATACAAAAGATACAAATTGATTTACAGATGGATAGAGAACATACATAGAATTAAATATTAATACATAGAAAGGAAGTGTACAGAGACCGAAGTAGCATAGCTTTCGAGCCGGCCTCTGAAACATTTAACGATATAATTCAATTAGGTTAAGTATTTGCAACTAAATTTCACTGAACATATTGATAAACTGAAAATTAATACTGATTATGTAATAATAAATTCATGTAGCTTTTTTTGAAGAGAATTAATGAGGATAATTTTTTAATATCGATATCAATAGTTTCCCATATTTTTGAGGAAATAAATTTGAAAGTATGAACTCCATAATTAGTTCTTACTTTTGGTCTTACAAGATTCATTTTATTAGCATGTCTAGTGTTATAGGTATGTTGATTAGCAGCTTGTAGAACAAAGGATGAGAATGCTTTTGGAACATTTGTTTTCATATTTATAAGTTTATAGGTAAACTCAGCAATTCTTAATTTGAATATATTATCGAATTTTAGAATCCCAAGAAGTTTAAAATACGAAGTTACATTTTCCCTAGAATGAGCAAAAAATACACTTCTGATAACCTTATTTTGTTTTGTTCTTATCTTGTTTATCTTTGATGTATATGTATTCCCCCAGCTCATAATTCCATAATTGAGATACGGATAGACAAGGGTGTAATAGAGTTGCTTTAGCATAGAGAGATCAAGATAGTATCTTAGTTTAGTTATTATACCTGCATTTTTAGCAATTTTATTATTTACATGTTTTATTTGATACTCCCAACTAAGATGCTCATCTAAGAAGATTCCTAAGTACTTTATATAACTTTTTTGTTTGACGTTAGCAATTTTTATTACAGTCATATTCTTTCTTTTTGATGTTATAATCATGAAGTGAGTTTTCTTAAAATTAACTGATAGTTTATTAATGCTACAATAATTTAACAATAATTTAAACTCCTCGTTCATAACAGTCTCCAGTTCGCTAACATCTTTCGAGGAGAAGAAAACATTTGTATCATCAGCAAAGATGCGGAAAGAGAGTGTTTTTGAGCATTTATGCATATCATTTATATAAAGCAAAAATAATAGTGGCCCTAGGGTGGAACCTTGCGGGACACCGCAGGTCGTAGTAAGCATCTCAGATTCTGTTTGCCCTATTTTAACGTATTGCCTTCTGTTTTCTAAATAGCTTTTAAACCATAATAACTGATTCCCACGAATTCCGTATTTCATTAATTTGGAAGCTAGAATTTGATGATTAACAGTATCAAATGCTTTCGAGAAATCTAAAAATAAACCACAGGTAATCAACTTATTATCAATAGCGTTATTTAAATTTTCAGTAATTTCAAGAATAGCCTGTTCAGTAGAATACCCTTTCCGAAAGCCGAACTGATGTTCAAAGAGAATATTGTTTTTTTCAAGAAAATGCAACAGTTGATCGTAAACAATACGTTCAAGAGTTTTACTGAATGGGGATAGAATAGAAATTGGCCTATAGTTATTAGGATCTGTTAGGACACCCGATTTGTAAATAGGGATAATTCTAGATATTTTAAACAAATCAGGAACAATACCCATTCTAATTGATTGATTATATATGTATGAAAAGGGTATTGCAAGTTGGCTACTTGCTATCTTAATAAGTTTATTTGAATATTTAACGATGCTTTATTTTCATTCAAATCATTAAAAAGTTTCATTACCTTAGATGGAAGAACTGGAGACATAACAAAACTAGAAGTTGGGGAATTATCAATAAGGCTAGTTGGATTACCATTTACACTTGGAATTTTGCTTGCGAGACTTTGTCCTACATTAGCAAAATGTTCATTAAACTCATTAGCTATGTCGTAAGTATTTAAAAAAGTCTTATTATTCCTTATAAGACTTGTTGGTAATTGCTGAGCCTTGGCCTTTCTTTTAATAATGGTTCCAATTAATTTCCAAGTAGCCTTTAAGTTATTTTTACACATTTCAAAATTACTTTTATAATACATCATTTTGCTTTTATTTTTAATTACATTTAACTTATTAGCAAAAGTTTTATAAGCGCGCATTTTAATTGTATTATTGGAGTAGAAATGCGTATAATACATCTTTTGTTTCATTTTAATAGATTTAAGTATACCATTCGTTATCCATGGCTTAGTTAACTGCTTATTTTTACTGCGCGAGGCCAACTTTATTGGAGCATGTTTATTTATAACGGAAGTAAATATATCCGTAACTCTAGCAGTTACAGTATTTAGATCAGATGGAGTATCACCATTTAAAATACTACTCCAGTTAATCAAATTTATATCATTTAGGTATGCTTCTTTATTGAAGGCACTGTAGTCCCTGTAGTATATAATATAATATAATATAAATTTATACTGTAAGTCTATACTGACCCCTGCGAGATTGGGCCGCCTGTGTGATATTCAACCATTTTGAAGAGCTTGCATCCAACGTGACGTCATAAATAGCGGACATATTCACACTCATTTACATACCAAACAAATTGAAATATCTCGGGAACAAAACATAAAAACACGAAACTGAAAAATAAGTTACACCACAGCTTAAAGAGTTCTTTCATTTAAGAAAATAAAAAAAATCATGTCATATGCACTTTAATATGTAAACATACGTTTAAGGGCCTGTTTACATTGAGGTAGGGTAACCCTATCAGGAGGGTTACCCTAGCAAGCGGGTCAGAAAATTGCGAGCGTTTACATGAGGTAGGGTGACCCTACTGCTAGGGCTATGTTGCCCGATAGGGTAACCCTACCTATGCGTGGTCACTAAGCCGTCAATAAATGGCGCCGAAACGCAAAGTTTTAGCGGCAAGTTGTGTAATGCTATTTATCGGGCCTTTGCTTGCTTCATTTCATATTTCAATGTCGTGGTCTGTTATTTCAATGTTGTTGTCTATTACTCGCATTGCGTAATGTATTCCTTGATCATATAGTCCATCACAACAGTTTTTCGACATGTTCGGCTGACCAAGAGCATTTATATATTTTGTTTTTTTGACGTCGATGAGGATGCGCCGGAATTTTGTTTCCTTTTCTCCGTCTTTGACTTTGTTATCGAAACTACATTATTCGCAGCGTTCTCGTCCAAAGGCAAAGCTTCGTTCTATGCCTCTGGCTCTGCTTCCTTATTTGTAAATTACTTATCCTTTTTATTTTCTGGTGTCGTTTAAAATACTCGCCAGGTTGATATGTTCATATGTATAATCTAGCGACGCCATCCTTGTTTGTCCGCCAGTCACAGTAGGACGTATAAAACATGACTCGCTTGCTATGGTAACCCTACCTGACGCGTTTACATGGCTTATGTAAACAAAAAGATAGCCCTGCTGCTAGGGTTACCCTATCTGTTTGATAGGTAACCCTACCCCTAGGGTAACCCTAGCGCGCATGTAAACGCTTCCTATAAAACATATTGAAGTAGGGAAACCCGCTTTCTAGGGTAACCCTTCTGCTAGGGTCACCCTACCTCCATGTAAACAGGCCTTTACACTTTAATGATGCATGCGTTCGCTTTAAAAGCTGTTGTACGTAAAACTGAACGCTTCTCGAAAGTCAAAACGCGAACTGATTGTCAAACGCGAGCAAGAGATAGCAGTTAAAGATTTACTCCTTGGAAAGAATGTTTTGGCCGTTCTATGGGAAAAGCTTGATTTTTACATTGTTCAAAATAGCTTTAAAAAAATTCGTTGTGTATGTAGAGAAAATCAAAGTTAAAGTTTATGTAAATCAAGGGAAATCTCTATCACATCAAAAGATACACGTTTATGATTTTTCTTTGTGTTTTTTCCTCATGAATTATTAATGAGTTTTTGAAGCTATTTTAGACAACAGTCACAACACAGTCACGGGTCATTCCATTTATTTCCCCCACCCCCCCCCTCTCTGGTCAGACTTTTACCTTTTATCTTTTACCTGTAGGAATCGGATTTCAGAGAAGTATCCCGTTGGAATCGACGACATACACCTAAACCATAGGAATGAGTAAATCTTGTTGTGCCAGATGCTGAAAAACAGTGTCATTCCCCCTACTTGGATAAGATCTGGTCAAAATTTTACCTGCAGGAATCGGATTTCAGAGAAGTATCCCGTTGGAATCAACGAGTCGGCGGCCAATTGCCAATATCTGACCACTAGGAATCGGCCCAAGGAATCCGCTAATTCCCAATATCTGACCGGTAGGAATCAGAGCTTTTATCCTTTAAAAGAATCCTGAACCACGGTTGTTTAACGTATTCGGCCGTATAGCAAATTAACTGCAAATAACAGTTGAGCATGTTTTGAAATGTTATTCTTAATATGTTTTGAAATGTTATTCTTAAATGTTGTTCTTCTCATCATCCAACCTCACTCTGCAATGCCAAGTGATGTAGCCTCAACTATCTGGTCTTGAATTATACTTTAAAGTGAACAAATAACTAACAAGACAATTGTAAGGAATATTCGATCCCTGCTCGGACAAGCTTTGATTTGCCGATTTTCCGTTGTTGAAAATCTAGTAATTTGAGTTTCCGGTTTGGGTGACCTGTGGTGCACGGGCCCCAATGAACGATAGGACAAAAATACACATGGCGGACATGTTTAGGTTTGGGTGTACATTGTAATACTTTTGAAGTAAATCTACGAGCATAATAACTTTATTTGCGTGTGAAAACATTTCCCACACGTAAGGTGGCGACCACGGCAAGGATTATATAGTGAAAAGGGGTTTTTAGCTACGGAAATATGCCTATTACGAGGGGCCAAAGCGAGTCAAATTCGGAGGAATCACAAGCTACTGGGGGCGAAAATCAAAGTGAAACACCAATGGGTCGTGTCACAGTCGTGCAAAAACAGTTGGAAACCAGTTTTAAAGTTGCTCTGCACTTGGACAGTCAAACTGAAACGATTTTAGAATCTAGAAACGAAAGAAAACTGCAACGACACAAGGGAAATTTGGAAGAAAAACTGAATAAATTACATGGCTTGGTATCAGCTATGATAGAACTAAAGTTTGAGCAAGGGTTGGATCTTGAGGCGGTTGATGAATGGGCAACTGAACCAAATAAGGTTATCGAAGGTTATGAACACTCTTTGGAGGCTGTGGAAGGTCTTCTACAAAAGATGGACGATGATAAGGAAGCCAGGAAGAGACATGACATTGAAGCTCGAGAAGAAGAGAAACGGATGAGAATTCGACAAGAGGAAGAAATACGACTGCAACGTTGGAAAGAGGAACAAAACACTGCAAGGTTACCTAAGTTGGAGATAAGTAAATTTAAGGGAGATTCACTAGATTGGAACAGGTTTTGGGAACAATTTGAGTCAGAAATTGACAATACCTCTAAGCCGGCTGTAACTAAATTTGCATACTTGCGAGAACTACTGGGTGAACGACCAAAAACTGAAATACTAGGACTTCCGTACACTGAGGATGGATACAAGAAAGCCAAAGAAGTTCTCAAGGCTAAGTATGGGGTTATATCAGAGATCATTCAAGCTCATGGTAAGCAAATTATGAATTACCAGTGATAACATCAGTTAACTTAAGACAAATTCATGAGTTTTATAGATTGCGTGAACTCATTGCGAACTCTGGGAAAACTAGATACTGCCGAGATCTTAGTCAGAGAAACTCTAGACAAGTTGGGCCCCATAAAGGCAGATCTGACCCGAACTGACTCAAAATGGCAAGAGTGGGGGTTTGATGACCTATTGACAGCTTTACGAGATTTTACTCTGAGAAACCCAGATAATGCAGGTTGCATTGGGGACGATAAAAATGGACGGAGACCTCCAAGGGGGGAGAAACAATTCCAAGGGACTGAGAACAGGGGACCCAAGTGTGTATACTGTAATTCTACTAACCACAGATGTAGTGATTGTGATAAAGCGAAAGATGTGAGTGAGAGGAGAGAAATTCTACGAAAGAACAAATTTTGTTACAATTGTACGGGCAAAGGACATTGGGCGGCAAGTTGCAAGAGTAGAAATTGTAGGAAATGCAGTGGCAAGAACCATACATCTATTTGTTCTTTAAAAGAAGAGCCTCCTTCCCATTACATGATTGGTGCGTCCAAGCGAACCATACACCCAACCATTGTTGTTGTAGCGGGCGGGGAGAAATTCAGAGCAATGCTTGACACTGGCTGACAGTTCATTTGTCTCATCAACAGTCATTAAACACTTAGGAATTAGACCAACCAAGTGGGAAAACAAAAGCATTGAAACAATCGACTGACACTGTCAATCAAAAGATGCCTTGCTACAAGGTTACGCTGAAGTCCACAGATGGTAGTCAGAGTTTAGATTTCAAAGTGAATAAGTTAGACCGGACAGTGTTGACAACCCTTACCAACCCCGGTATCCATGGGTTAAAGGAAGCACACCCCCATCTGAAGGGAATCCAATTGGACAATGAAGACGGCCGACCTAGTCACCCAATACATTTGATCCTGGGGGCGGGGTGTCTTGCGAGAATCAAGACTAGTGAGTGTAGAATTGGTAGTATGACCGAGCCGGTTGCCGAAAAGACTACTTTGGGTGGACACTCATGGGACAGGGGGAGGAGGACTCGAGTCATCTCTATTTTACCAGAACATCTCAAGACGACTATAAACAGCTCTGAAGCCTGGATGGAGTTGGGTTACAGGATGGTCCTGTAGGCGATCCAGATGCTGTCCTCACCGAATTTAACGAGCAACTCACACAACATCCAGATGGTAGGTACTCCACACGACTTCCTTGGAAAGCTGGGTATCCACCTCTACCAACCAATGAACTACCAAATAAGGTGAGGTTAGAAGGATTGATCAAAAAACATGAGAGGAAACCCGAAGTTATGGCGCAGTACCATGGCATAATAGAAGAGCAGATGAAGCAAGGAATTGTTGAACAGGCTCCTGAGCAACCTACAGGGGAGAGAAAGTTTTATCTGCCACATAAACCAGTTATTAAAGAGTCGGCTGAGACCACTTGAGTTCGGATCGTTTTTGATGCGTCGGCGAAAGAGAGTTCAAATGTACCATCCCTGAATGAATGCCTCCATAAGGGACCACCACTACAGCCATTACTTCACAATCTGCTTGTTAGAAATCGGTTGAAACCAATCGGACTGACAGCATATATTAAGCAAGCATTCCATCAGATCTGGGTGGACCAGAAGATCGAGACGTACTGCGTTTTATCTGGATTAAAGATTTAGAGACGGAGCAACTTGTTACACTTTGACAGACGAGAGTTCCATTTGGAAGTGTATCAAGCCCATTCTTACTTGGGGGAACACTTAATAGACATCTTGAGAATTGCCAAAAAGATTATCCGGACACAGTGGAGGAGCTTAAAAATAGCACACATGTGGACGATGTGATTTCTGGAGGTGAAACTATCAAGCAAGTGCAAAAGTTCAAGGAAGAGTCTGTTGAACGATTTAGCCAAGGAGGATTCCCATTACACAAGTGGCACTCAAGTGACCCTCGGTTTGAGGAACAGCAACCAGCGGATGAAGATCAAACATATGCAAAGGAGGAGTTGGGTACAAAACCAGCCGAAACAAAGATTCTCGGGATGAAGTGGGACAAAGCGAAAGACACATTAGCAATTGACTTTCGTGGGTGCAAGCAGACCGGAGAGGGTACGAAGCAGTGCCTTTTTTAAGGAATTTTCACTGGGGGGGGGGCCAAAACAGGAAAAAAGGCAGAACGAAAAATATGAGTCGTCGAGGTTTGGCGAACGCGCGAGTCTGAAGAGAGATTTTGTAAAACTTTAATTTATTAACTTCAGCTATATTTTACTTTAAACAATAACTTTTTGTAGCTATAATCGTACAGCTATAACCAGTGGCGTAGCCAAACTTTAATTTTGCGGGGGGGGGGGGCGAACCTCACGCCGAAGGTGTGAGACCGTCTAGGAGGGTCCGGGGTCCGGAAAATTTTGAAACCTAGGGTCCCTGAATTGCGATTTCATGCATTTTGGGGGTGAAATCTAGCAGAATTCCGAAGATTATAAAGTACATCGAAGACATGAATTTTTCCAGACATTTCTACTTGGAATTAAATAAATTGGAAAAGTCACCTTGAAAAATAGGAGGAGGGGTCAGTGTCACCTTATTTCCTCTCTGTGATGCTGGGGGGGGGGGGAATCCCAATGTGCTTTTGATCAGAAATGTTGCATTTAAATCATTTTAGGTTCTATGAGACACCATTTCCGCATTCTCAAAATTGCGTTGCTTTTTCATACGATACAGAATAAGTCTGAGAAGAAATATTCATGCTATGATGATGCATACATGTATTTAACAGTTAAAAATCTAAACTAAATCTACTCTTCTTGGAACCATATCTACAACTGCTTTAACGAGATTTCACAAATCAAGTTCCTCCAGTATACCGTCTTTTTCCTCAGTCGAGACGTACGTATTAATCAGTTTCAGCTTCGAGCATGTAACGTACCCCAATTTCTCTACGGCATGAAATCTATCGCTATTATGAAATACTCGGTGAAGAACCTCTCTCCTCCACAGAGGCTTTGAGGAGCTACTGTATTAAAAATATATGCGCTAGACGGTAATGTTACAGAGTTATGCGCTAGACGGTAATATGTAACGAGGAAACCGCTAAAATTCAGAACGCGGGCAAGGAGGGCGCAAGGGGGGGGGGCGAGGAAAGGGAAAGCCTCTGCCAGTTTTACTTCGATTTCTTTCCCACATGCTCGAAATGTGGGACATCATAAAATATATGTGCAATCCGGGAGTTTTACTTTGTCTGGTTGTTTAAAGTGACTTCGTGTTTGATTAGGAAGTGTTTATTTGTATAATTTTATTACCTACTGGTAGTCTGGACCCTCTGGTAGTTATTTTGATGGAAAAATATGCAAATGAAGATGTCGCTATTAAAACAGTCGCTACTGGGACTGCTAGCGATGACTGCGATGTGGATATACTCAACGATTCGCTTCATAATTTATCTTTGGAAGGTAAGGTTTTGTTTAGTTTATCGCGTTTTATCCTTTAATGTTATTACAAAGATTATTTCATCGTCATTTTCGTTGTGAAGTTTATAGTTCGAGGGTTTTTAAATATAATGTATAGTGTATGTTGTTAATATTTACTTGGGCCAAATAAAAATAATAGTTGGTTTCAGCCGGTTTCACAGCCATGTTTTATATGGGTAGGTAGGTCGGAAAAACATTTTATTTTGAAAAAGTATTTTATCTCAAGTATGCAATAAATATAAGATAGAACTCATTATAAACTCTTAGTTTTTATTGTTTTAACGTCAGGTTTTCACCTGCATACATATTATAAAAACTTGACATGCAAGGAAACGAGCAACAACTAAATATTTAATGTCAACAATGTTCAGTCTAAACGTTTAAATGTCAATAAAATGTTCATGGTCGGTCATATTTTTGACAGGTTGGTTGGAAACCTGAAACCAACTATTATTTTTATTTGGCCTTGTGGATCACACAAAAATAAATGACCTGTATATATTTCCATAGTATGGAAATAGTATAGATACACTATGGATTTAGTGATGCAATTGTAAATTTCATATATGAATTTCACATTTTTTCCCCAGTGGTAGTGCTTTTTATAGTAATTACAACACTGAACACTTTTAAAACTGCCAAGTCTTCCATGACAGTGAACAGCACAATTTTTAGCATTTCAACATCAAAGAATATGGGCCGTCAACACTTAACATTAACTATATGGGCAGTTTGTTTGGTTAACCCAATAACCCATTGAGTGGCAGCATTCTCCACTTGACGAGTAAAATCGTCTGGTGTTTGACAGAGTAAAATACTAAAATAGGCTCATCTAGACCCTCTACTTTTTCTTCCATTTAGAGCCAGGAGATCTTGAGCCATTGGCCAGCAGCACTCCAGTTAAAGCCAAAAGATCAGACTTAAGTCCAAGTGAGTTTGAACCACCTGCAAAAAGACTCCGTGGTGAAGGATGCAAGAAAAGGCAGGATATTTTGCAAACACAATTAAAGGTAGAGTTTGTAGAAAGCCCAGGAAAAAGAACAGAAAGGTCAGAAGTTATGAGCTTTTTAGGAACTGATAGCAAAAGTCTTGCAACAAGAGCTGTCAAGTCTGCCTTTACCAGTGCTACTTATGATAAGAGAAAGCAACAGTATAGGAATATAAGAAAGTCAATCTCATTTGTTGTCGGTAGTGAATCTATTGATGAATCAGATTTGCAAGTGAGCCAAAACACTGAAATTTACAATTTGCAACAAAATGTTTTAACTTGTAAACAGAAAGCCAAATTAATTATGGATGACATTTTGTCAAATTCATCAGTCAGTGATAATGTTTACCTGAGTACTCTTGTAAACATGTACAACCAAGAAATGGAAAGCATTTCAAAAATCACAGATAGCATTGATGCTATCTATGAGCGAGAGTTAAAACTGTTGCTGCAAAGGGAAACTGATAAGAAGATATCTGCTTCTGAAAGATCCACTATAGTCTTGGAATATGACAGGTTATCTACTCTTGTAAACCTTGGTATTTGAAGCGGAGTGAATTCGCCAGAAGAACAAGTTACTGGAGAGACATTCAAAAACTTGAAACTTGATTTTGTCAGAGAATGTCCAATGTTAACCGAAATTGTCCAGTGTCTATTCCCTGATACTGAGATGACGGACAGAAAATCAAAGTGTGCAGTACATGCTCTTTCCTTACTTACTAGCTTACGTAATCGACATTGCAAAAATGATGTTACCTTGCTATTTACCATGATGCTTGTTTCTTATGGTGCTGGTTGCCGCATGATTAACATATTGAACAAATGTGGCCTCACTATTCACTGGGATACAGTAATGAACTATCTTGATAGTCAGCTTGAAAGAAAAAAGAAATATGTGACAAGTTTGACACCACAAGAAATTCCTTTATTGCTTCTTATGGATAATGTAAATATTTATCGTGGCAACAAGAGGCACCACAGATTATACAAAGCATATGGTGATAATATGTGGAACTTCACTGTCAGAGGACTTTTAGTCCCCCATCTCGAAGGGATACAAGATCTACTATCATCAAGAGAAACTGCTGCTGAAAGTCAGCATGATGTAAAGGATTTTAATTTT